GTACAGTGCTAAACAATAACAAAGATAGTAATACAAGAATTATTCTAGAATGGGTAACATTTCAAGGGTAAATGCTAATGAAAATCGGGCAAGGGGTAGTGATGATCTTGGGCGAAAATCAAGTATAACAATATATATTAATGTATTGCTAATAATACATTGACAAAATTTTAAAAGTTTACTAATACTTTTTACTTTTTTCTTTCTCTTAATAATATTAAATATAATACTAAAAAAATAATATAAATTATAATTTTAATAAATAACAATATTAACAGAAATTTAAACTTAAAAGTTTTTGATGACCTGTGGGTCTATAGTGTAGTGGTTAACACTCCACAGGTCAAATCACAAGATACCGGATCAATCCCAGGTGAAAGCGATTGAATAGAACAATATGGTATCTGGCATCATAATCTGTTATGTGCTGTTTCTCATGTGAAGCCATTTCACACGCTGACCCAGCGGGCGTTGAGATTGTGATTTCTAGAAAAAGGTGCTGCAGTGTAACGATCATCTGGTCGGCATTACGATGATCATTGTCAAGTTTGGTGTAATTCCCAGTTCCACAATAGGCCGTTTCATTTCCCCTATAGTCCATGAGACTATAAAAGAAATATATGGAGAGCCACAAACTGGAAACTGGTTTCAGCAGCATCCAACACGTTCCCCCCTTTCACAATGAGTAACAACTCGCCAGCAATATCCACCATTCTTACCTGTAGTGAAGGTACTTAGTAGGTAACGATTGCCAGAATGGAAGATCCCCCTTAAGACTTAGCCTAACTTTGGAGATGTTGCGTCCTTTTAAATAAGCAACTTACACTTGAAGCCTGGTATTATCTAAAAAGGACTAGGATCGTCAACTACTGGTTAAAAAGAAATAACCACAGTTTAAAGGTATTGAACCATTGGCCACAGGTCCCATCGGCTACCGTATGGTGCGTATGGTGATAAGAGACACAGTACTCTGATGGATAATTCGCAAAAAGTGGCTGGAGCTAACTGGAGGAGGTTTACAGATTAAAAGGCTGGAAGATATAATAGAAAAATGTAGGGTTAAAAGTGCACTCAGATGGTATACCTGTGGGTGAATCCTAAATTAGAACAATTTGTAGAAACTTGTATATATATGTACATTTCATAAAAACAAATCTAATAAAATTTAGGGTGAGCTTACCCAAATTTTAAAAAAAAAAAAAAAAAAAATTGATTTTTTGAGTTAAAGAGAAATTCTTTAAACAGAAAATATAATTATTTAAAAAGATTTGTATATCAGAAAAAAATAAAAAATAAAAGGAAGATTTATAAAAAAGTAATTATTACAAGTTTTTTTTTATGTAATTTTAAAAAAAAATAAAGCTTTTAAATTTGTTTTTCTTTGATTAAATATTTTATTTTAATATATTAATATATTTTTTTGATTTTTTTGAAATTATTGTAGCAAAAAAAAAAAGAAAAAAAAATATAAAGGATTTTTAGATATTAAAAAATAAAAAAAATATTTGTTTTTCTTTAATTTTAAAGAAAAATTATAAAAAAATTTTTTTTTAAAAAGTTATATACAGAAAAGAGTTTTTTTTAAATTATAATTAAAATAAATACTTAATATAATAGCTATAAACTCTTATTTAATAAAAGTCTCATATTTTATGCTTGTTTGTAATAAAAAAAAATAATAATAAAATAATAAAAATTGTATTTATATAAATAAAATGGGTTTGGTTTGGTTTATAAAAAATTAAACCAATTGGATTTCAGATTAAATCGGTTTACAAAAAATTAACACTGACAGTTTTTGAATCAAATCAGTTTAAAAAAATAAATCAGATTGGTTTCAGTTTTAATTATAATTGAACTATTGTGATTCCTATAAAGTATATAAGTTAAATATAATTTACTATAGCAATTATTATATATACAAATTTATTTATAAGTTTTTAAAATCAAAACTATTGGTTATTATTATATAATATTAATTTTTTAAAAAAATTTTTATTTTTAAAAACAAAAAAATTATTAATAAAGAATCATTAAAAGTATTTCAAATAAAAAAAAAAATTTTTTTTATTATCAATTTTTAATTTAGGATTTGTTATTATTATTATTTATTATTTTAAATATAATTTATAATATACAATCAAATCTTTTCAAATCTGTTTTTTCATGAATATACCATATGTTTTATGAAATATCATTTTAAATACAGATTTTTATTTGGATTCTAATAATAATATTTTTTAAATACAATATTTCTTTAAATACATGTTTGATGATTTTTTACATATGACTCCATTGCAATATATTTGAGTTGAATTGTATCTGTAGGTATAAAATTTTTAAATGTATATTTTTTTATATATTTTCAAATTTTTTATTGATATATATGGGTAATTCTTTTTGAAGGCGGACAGGGATTTTTCTGACTTAATAACTGTACTCCTAGAATTTATATGTATATGTATTGTTCAAAAAATAATGATATAACAACATTTTTGTCGTTTTCAAAAAGAATCAACCATATATACAGTGGGATTATTTTCAATTACACGTTTTGAAAGTTAATGGACAGCAACAAACATAAAAATCCTTTAACTTGATCTCGTTAGTTAATGTATTCTTATGGTTTGATCAAAATGTTGTAGGTTGTGCGTTATTAAGACATTGGAAACAAAATATCTAAGTTCAAAAATTAAATAAAGTAGTTATACAGTTATATAACATTGATATTATGATCGTATCAAATTTTCCTAAAGCTTTTAATCTACTGCATATTCACGTACTGTACATTGTATGCATTATTTCATTCTATTTAAAAATTTTTAACGTAACGAAAGTAACTTTATTTGGATTTACAAAACAATAAGAGTTTATACATTATTTCCAATTGACAATTTTATCCTAAAGAAGAAATTCCCCTTAATGATAAGATAACCTCGCATATTCGAAACAAAACGAATAAATCATATTTAAAGGCTGAGGTATTCGTGATTTGTCATTTATGGATAAAAATAACAAGACAGCAAGATTATCGTTATTTAGAGGTTTGCGTGAATTATCATCGGCCTATTGGTTCACTTTTCGAAATGCGCCACGTTAAATATGCCCGAGAGAATGATAGTGCGCCTATGTGTATGTGCTGCATGTTCCGGGAAGCTCACTAAGTTTGGATAATACCGCTTAAGTTTGATTGGTAATGGTGTAAGCGGAAAAAACCCAACCTATTTTTGTAAACCATATTCGTTTTTTTGTTTGTTGCAGTTAACAAAATTCAAAAAGAATTTATTAACTAAATATAAATCGATCAAAAGAATGTCACATACAGTACCATTGGGATTGCTCATTCGCATGGAAGTTGCGCAAAAAGTCAATCTCAGGTCAATCTTGACCCAGTCGATAGAACTTTTGAATTTAGGCAAGTTACAACCGATCTTCGTTTGCATGGACTGCACCATAGGTTTAAAAACACGCGCATAAAAGTTTAATTACACTATCATGCAACTATCTGCGATGTTTTCGTATTCTGCCTGCATTCAAGGTGCGTCAATGACTAACCCTCACTACAATCAAATAGACTTGAATCGGTTTTCACGATTTTGTAGAAGTGAAACTTTTCGCCCTGGTGCATGTGATACAAATTAATTTCAAGTTTGAACAAAATTTAATTCGTCAGTCATTTTTGGATTTTTTTGTATTTCAACTGATTGGTACATTGGTAAACACCAATATATAATATTTATTGTTGCATTCGCGAAATAATTGACTAAAAAATGAGTTACATGAATGCCACAAAAAGACCTGAAATATGCATTTAATATATTGTTGGTTACAGTATACAAATAAATATGTATTCCACGCAAAATACGAATCACGAATTATCATGCGAGCATATACAGCATTATTCTATTTTTCAAATGTGTAACGATAAGCTGCAATGAATTGTTGAATTAGATAAACTTCGAAATGTAATCGAGGTTCCTCTTTATTTCATCTTCCTCCCTCTTACATTAATCTAACTTTAACATCCTCCATTATTCTCTCTCTCCTTTTAATTGCCTACCCACCCCGACTATCCAAATTCATTTGCTCAACGATAATTCTTGTCATACCAACAAGAAAGGAAAAGCAACGTACTTTCGCAAGTGACAACTGCAGATTAAATCTAAATTAACGACTTCTTCCCTTCACCTTCTTTTATCCTTTTATTTAAGAAAACTTGCATTTGTTTGGAAACGTCTTTTTATTTGCAAGCTCGAAATTGACTTCATCCTTACGCGGGCCGGTTCCCTTAAAAACTTTCAAAATTTACTTTCTTTCGAACTTAAAAGGCTCGTTCCTGTATCTAGTTAATTTATTTATTCTACATAGCAATATTTCGGCGTCAATCAACGAAAAAAAAATTTTTTTCTTTCTCTCACTTAAATAATACCTAAAATGGCAAACAATTCAAACAATTCCACTTCCGTAAGCACAAAAGTGCAAGTTGGTAAGTTGGTCGAAGGGATGATTTGAAAGAATTTGGAATTTACTCTTATGTTATCTTAATTTGCTTTACATATAGCTCTTAGAATAAGGCCTCTTACAGCAGACGATTTGGTAACTTTGCCGTCACGATTCCAGCGACAGATTCTTTCCACGAATCCATTCACACCAAACCAAGTAGTCGTTCAAGCAGAAAGGAAACAAAATTACACGTTTGATCATGTTTTTGGTCCCGAGGCTTCTCAGAAAGAAATTTATGATCGTTCAGTTAAACATATGGTAGACAAATTCTTGGAAGGTGGGTGGATGTCGCGCTCCGTTTCATTATCTATCACCTGACCTTCTATCTTGGTCTCGTGACCAAGTAATCATCTCTCAATTCCAACTTTCGTACTTCATTTTTTGCGTTTCAGGATTCAATGTCACCATATTGGCATATGGTCAAACGTCTTCGGGTAAAACATACACCATGGGTACATCTGACAATTCGTCTTTATCAGCTGATGAAAAGGGAATAATTCCGCGTTCAATGACCACACTTTTCTCTTACATAAATTCTGCCCAATATAAGAACCGAAAGTGTACCATGAAGGTTTCATTCGTGGAAATATACAACGAAGACCTGATCGATCTCCTTGCTGACAAAGAGGAAGAAAGCAGACCTCAAGTTATGATCAGAGAGGATTCTAAAGGAAATATTATTTGGAGCGGGTTGCAAGAGGTTAAAGTTAACAGTGTAGAAGAAGTGATGGGGTAATTATTATTTCATTTTTATCATAAAAACGATGTTTATTTGTTCAAAATTATATGACGGTTTTTTAAAAAAACCATTCATTAGTAATTTGACTCGCGGATCGTTACTTCGTCAAGTCGGTGCTACGGAAATGAACTCACAGTCATCTCGATCACATGCAATTTTTTCTGTTACGCTTTCTCAACAAAAGTTTGTACCGAGCGGACCAGTTAGTCCGACTGGCACACCTACACGTCCATCTAGTAGACAATCTGGGTCACCATCAAGATCAGGGTCCAGAATGGGTAGACGTACGGAAGAAGGAGATTGGGTCTCCGTGACAAGCAAATTTCATTTTGTGGATTTAGCCGGCAGTGAAAGAGTAAATAGATTTTTTTTTTCTTAGGAAAAGAAAAAATGAAGATTAAACTAATTGCTTCATCTCAATTTGAAATCGTTCTAGCTCAAGCGTACTTCGGCAATCGGAGAACGCGCGAAAGAAGGGATTTCAATTAATTCTGGGCTTTTGGCTTTGGGAAACGTGATATCCGCTTTAGGAGATCCAACAAAGAATAGGTCTACGACGCATGTTCCATATCGAGATTCCAAGCTTACCCGATTATTGCAAGATTCTCTTGGTGGTAATGCACAAACTTTAATGATTGCGTGCGTCTCTCCAGCAGAATACAATGTTAGTGAAACTGTCAATACGCTTAAATACGCAAATCGTGCCCGTAATATTAAGAATAACGCGACAGTAACCCAGGAAGAAGCTGGTTGGCATGATTTGGAACATTTGCAAAATTTGGTCTTGAAACTCAGAGCTGAAGTCAAGGCTTTGAAACAAACGAGTGAATCAGGAAGAACTACACCAAACGAATCTAGGAACAGTCGTAGATTATCCACACCATTGAGCATAATTACTAATGGCCTCGAAACTCAAGCTCCAAGTAAAAACAAGGATATTGACTCACTTGAAGAACAGTTGGTAGAACTTCAACGTTGTTATTCAGAGCTTATGCAGAAATATACAAAAACTTCCGAAGAATTGTCAATGTATCAGGACAACATGGATCTTTTATCATCTAAAAAAATTGATCAACAGGAGAGTGCGTTCTCAGCACCTTCTTCCGAATCCTTCCAGGAAACTATTGGACCTCTAATTGCCGAATATGAAAAATCAATTGCTGAACTGGAGAATAACCTCAGAATTGCCCGAGCTTCCTTGGCGAATTCGGAACAAATGATGCACGAACAAGAATCAAAACTCGGAGAAGCGGAAGAACTCAATTCTAAAAACCAAGGCATGATATCTGACCTTAAGAATATGGTCTCAAAACTCACGGAACGTGAGGAAATTTCTGAAAATTATATTAATGATCTTGAATCTAAACTCGAGGCACATGCCAGCGAACAAAAGAAAGATCGAGAAACAATAAATGACCTCCGAAGTAGAATTGCTCAACTCAGACTAAATAGTGAGAAAAATGAAGGTGTAATCCAAAAACTTGAATTGCGGCTGGCGAAAAGTGAAAACAAAGTTACGATAATGAATGAGACCACCCAAAATCTAGAAAGGGCACTACACGAAAGGGAGGACGCTTATATGAAACTTGAATTAAAATACAAGAAGGAAAAGTCACTTGACGAACAAGACCAGAATTTATTAATGTCCGAAATCGAAGAAAGAGATCGTAGGATCGCTCAACTTGAGAAAAAGGTCGAAGAACTTGTCACGGAGATTTCTCAGATGAAGAAACTCAGAGTGGATGTGAACAAGTATCCTCGCCAACATCGCAGATCCTCTTCCTCCTCTTCCTCTTCTTCTGCATCCGATGTTGACACTCCATTTTCCACTCCACCAACTTCAAACACAAACACACCAATGTCAAATAACGATTTTTCGACAATTATAAACCTAGAATCAAAACTCTTGGAACTTCAAAAAACTCACGAAAAAACTGTCTCCGAACTTACGGATACAAAGTCCAAGTATCAGTCATGTATCGATGAAATTAACGAGCTTAATTCGCGACTTCAAGAAGTCAAAATTCCAAAATACGGAGTAACGTTGGTTGGCGATTCGGCTCCAATGTCTCCAGTAAATCCTGACTTTGTCCAAGATAGTGAATCGTTGTCAACTCACATTCACGGCACTCATCGCAAAGCAAAATCTCTCTCCGCTGAAATCCAAGGTGCAGAGAAACGTGAGCTTTCCAGCATGGCCATGGTTCAGAAACTCCAGATCGAACTCAAGCAATTGGAGTTATTACACGCTGATAAAGAAGAAGGTTTAATAGAAGTCAAAAAAGAGTTTGCACGTCTAGAGGTCAATCATCTTGAAACTCTTGAGATTGTAAGTGAACTTCGCGAAGAACTAAAACGGCGTGACGCTTTGGCTCAAATTGAGGTTATGTCGGTGATGACCTCAGAATACTCGTATGCTGAATCTGGATATTCTGCAGCCACCAGCGAAATAGATCAGTATGACATCGTTCATAGACTCCGAGATGAAGTTGAACAACTTAAAGAGGAGCAAAAAAGAAATCTAGATATCATTGCTTCATATAACAATGGAGTCAAAAGTGAAGAGGTTTTGAAAATTGAATCTAACATCAATTTGCTTAAAGCTGAGATACAGAGCATCATTGAAAGACAAAATAAGGAAGATACGAATGAGGAAACCTTGCAAAAATTACAAATTCAGCTCAAAGAACTAGAAGAACAACTTGCCATGACACAAGAAGCTCAAAGACAAATTATTATTAATAATGCTGCATCCCAGATTGAAGGAAAACTAGATGTAGCCAACAAGAATGATGAGTTGAAAGAACTTCGACAACAAGTCGAAAAACTTCAAAATGAAATCGAAGTTAAGAGTCACACAATCGCTGCTTTATTATTCCCATCGGTCGAACAACAGAATAATATTCGAGAATTGGAAGATGAGCTTCGGGAAACAAGAGAGGCCTATTCACTTGCCTTTGATGAGAAAAATAGCAAGTTGAACACCATTACTGAGGAAAATGGAACCACCTCCGATAGTATTGACAAGAAAATCGAGGAATTGGAAGAGAAAATCAAATCATTAGAAGATCAATTAGCTAAGGCAAAAGAAACACCGCATGTTCCTGTTCACCAAAATCCCGAAATCGATCTCGTTGATCCTTCCTACAAGACTATTGAAGTATTAGAAGAAAAACTTTCTGCTTTGCAACGGGATCTTTCAGCTAAATCAGAGGTATCCGAAGATCTTAAAAGCGAACACGAAACGATCACCGCACTTCAAGGGCAACTCGAAGCTCTCAAATTGGATATGCATCACAAGCACGAATTGATTGGTATACTCAAACGAGATCTCGCGGATAAAGCAATGCTTCAGCAGAAACTACGAGAAAAGGAAACTGAGGCATTGGCTTTCAGAACGAAACTCATGGAGGTTCATAAGCAAGAAGAAGATTTAGAAAGAGAAATGAACAGACTTAAGACTCTCTTGCATAAATTGGAAAGTGGCGATGACGTTAGCAAAGTTCTTCAGGATGAATTAGAGTCCCTACGAAACGAACTCAAGGACGTTCGAGCTAGGGAGTCCGTCGCCCTGGAAAGACTTCGAGTTCTCAAAGCAAGATTAGGTTCAGATCAGGAAGAATCTGTCCTTCAAGAACAGTTAGAACATTTACGAATCGTTGAAATTGCGCAAAGAGAAAGGATCGCTGTCTTGGAAGATCGACTTTCTGAAAAAGGCGAAAAAGTCGACGAAGATCTTGTCATATTACGAACTGATTTGGCAATTGCCAAAGAAACGGAATCAGCGCAAAAACGAGTAATCGAAAACTTGGAAGCTAAACTCAAGAAAGCTGAAGAGAGGTCTCAGGCGGTAAATCTTAAGCGTGAGCTCGCTGGATTGAAGGCAAAAGAAATGGAACAAAATAAGAAGATCCAGGAACTCGAATTTCAACTAAGCGAATCAAACAACAAGGATTCTCAGCAAGTCAAGCAGTTAAAGGAAGAAATAGAGAAGTTACGTGCGCATGAAAGAGAACAACGCAGACAAATCGAAACGCTCGAAAATCGATTGGATCTTATCAAGGACGAAGATCCTACCGTTTCTTCCCTGCGAGATCAAATTGCTGGGTTGAAAGCATCAGAATTTGATTTGCGTAGAACAGTCCAAGACTTAGAATCCAAGCTTGTTTCTGCTCAAAGGGAAATAAATATTTTTGAAACTGTAAAAGAAGAAGTAGCCTTTTTAAAAGAACTGGAATCGGAACAAAAATCCACTATCGAGCAACTGCAATCCCAGCTTCGTAAAATCAGAAATGCCAAAGAAGCAGCAGTCAGGGAACTTCAAACAATGAAGGGAGGATTTAGCATTCAAAAAGAACTTGCGATTTCATTAGAAGAAGAATTAAAAACCTTGAGGCAAGAGTTGGCTTCTGCTAAGGATAATACCAGCTCCTCTTCTGTTGAACTTGAAGAACTTTCTGCTTTATTGAGTGATGCCCAAAAACAACGTGATGAAGCTCAAAGACGAGTTAAAACTTTGGAAATCGAGGTTGAAACATACAAGATTGCTGGGGTGGCCGGAAAAGAAAATGTCGGTGCCTTACGAGAAGAGTTGTCCAATGCCAAACTTGAGATGGTTGCTCAGAACGAAATTCTCGTCGACTTAGAAGCTCAAATGAAAAACATGGAGAAGGAACGTGACCAGAGTGCTCAACGCGTGTCCGAGTTAATGGAGGCCCTTGAGAAAAGGGAGGCCAATCAAAGAGACGCAGTCCGAGAGCTGGAATCTACATTGATGAACTTAGAAACAGAACTAGTTATGGCTAAGGATAACGAAAAGATGGACAAAGAAATGATTTCAAACCTTGAAGAAAAACTTTCATTCGTCCGGTTGCAACTGGAGGAAGCAAAAGCCTCTGATGAAAGGAGGACAAGGGTCATCAATGAATTGGAAGCGAAATTAAAAGAAGCCCTTAGCGTATTAACAGAACGGGAGAGTGGAATCAACAACCAGGATGTCCTTATCGTTGAATTAGAGGCACTTATACGAAACACTCAGTTTGAATTACAGGCGGCCAAGCTATCGGAGACTGACGCTGCAGCGCGAGTAAAAGAACTTGAAAGTAAGCTCGCAGAAGCATCAAAATTGGAACTTGATTCAGCCGCCACTGAACTTAAGGCTTACAAGGCGGAACTTGATAAGGTCAAAGCGTCCGAAGCAAAGTTTATCCAACAAGTCAAGAATCTGGAAAACAAACTCCAAGGTGTTCAAGAACAACACAGCCAAGAAATCACCAAGCTTCAACAAGTGAACGAAGAAGTCAACACCCTTAGAGAACAGTGTACACGTTTACAAGCAGAAATCGATGACGCTAATCACGATTCCGTTATTCAATGCTATGAAAACATTGACGACGATGTGATTGAAGATCTCACCAACGAACTCCGAAAGGCCCGTGATCAGGCTCAAGCTCAACAAGAACGCGTCGAAGAATTGGAAAAAATTGCAAATCAACTTGAATCCGAAAAGAAGATTCAAGCACAGCGTAATGAAGACCATGAGGCGGAAGTCAAGCAACTTCAGAAAGATCTCGAAATCTTGGCCGAGGATTTCGCAGAAGCCGCAGCCAAATTCGAAGACGCCGACGAGCTTTCGAGACAGCAGAAAGATCAAATTGCAAAACTTGAAAAGGCCTTACAGGAAGCTAAAAAGAGTCCTCTGGAAGACGCGGAAGTTGATCAACGCCTTTCTGGATCGACAAACCCAGTGCTTGCCAAACTTGCGTCTGCAAATGAACAACTACGACAAACTAACGATCACCTGAATGTTAAAATCGCTGAAACGGAAGATCAAACACGAAAACTGGTTGATAAGGTTAAATCATTGGAAAGCGAACTTTCTCGTCTAAATGCACACGAAAATAAATCTATTAAAGAGCTAAAGGATAAGATTAATGTGTTAGAAGTAGAAAAAGAGTGTCTAGAGGAGGAGAATAAAACATACGTCGAAGAACAGGGTAAACTTGACCAAAAGATTGAATTCTTGATGCAGCAATTGCGATCCGTAGGTTCTGGTAAGACTTCAACTCAAATTGCAGAGTTAAATGGTCAGATCATTAAACTGGAAAAGGAACTAGCCAACTTGAAGCAACAATCCTTGGCCAATTCCAAAGAAATGGAAAAGGAAATCGAGCGACTTCTGGAACTCAATTTCCAGCTCGAGCAAGGGATCAAGGGTACAGCACCCAGTCCAACCAGACCTAATAGTGCATCAACCGTTTCAAGTTCACACGGTAGCGTGAGCAGTGTGAATTCTCGGGAACAATCCAAACTCACTCGCCAAGAAAATAAAATTTCCCAGCAAAACAGCTTAATTAAGTCTCTCCAGGAAAGGATAACCGAACTTGAAAAGCGATCAAATGATGGAAATGAGGTCGAATCTGGAATCCGAAGTTCTACGTCCTCAACTTCTTCCAGTTCATCGGATATTAAAAAAAGTGGTATTCGACCTATTACAGGAAGTCTTGCGATCGCACCTCCTCCAACACCTCCACCAAGTCATCCGCCACCTCCACCACCTTCAGGTACACCACCAGCCACACCCGGTAATCCCACAACACCGCGTTCTCCTCTACCACCAAATCTTACAAGAAATCGATCCGATTCCAATGTGAGCTCCGAAATTGCATCAGAGGTTCAAAAGTTGCACAAGAAGATTGAAAAGATGGAGGGCGAAAGCGTACAGAATCGACAACTTGTCGAAACATTGGAATCTACGCTCAACGAGAATGAAAATAATCTTCGCGTGGCCAAAAAGCAACTGTCTATATTGCAACGCGAAAAGAGTGACTATCTTGAACAGATCAAAAAATTGAAGTCACAGTTGGACGATGCACAACAACAGGTTGAACAAGCAAGATCAACCGTACAAGAGGAGAAGAAGTTAATGGAAAGTGTACTGGAGGAAGAACGAAAAGCCAAGGAGAAGGCTGAAAAAGCTCGATCGGCGCTGGAAAACCAAATGGAACAGCTTATGGCCAAGAAAAACAAGTTTATGTGTTTCTAAGATCATGCTCAATCGCTTCCCGAGTTATTCTATCAATTCAACTTTTGCAATTCACCCAAATAATCAAGTCTTCACCGTTGAATCATCAACCAGAGCAATCTCATAAGAACTTTTGCCTATGTAGGCTTTATGATCCAATTTCTACTAGACACGTTAGCATTCTCAAAAACAAAAAAAAAAACTCAAAAACCCAAAAAACATTTCATAACGTAGCATCAAAAAAAGACAAAAAAAACATTTAATTCACAGCAATGTGTCTTGATAAGATTTTTTCGTCATATATGTAGATTTTCACTCATTTTATTATCGTCTCTCTAGACATCGCATCGTCATTGTATATGTATATTTGCTTAATTTCTTCACTCTCTCAGAAGTCAATTTAAACCACTATCCAACCCAAGTCAGATTAGTGGAATTATACATTTTAACGAACTTTCAACTAATATTTATTATCTTGAATCGCCATAGAAAAATTTGCATTTTTTTATCTTTTTAAACTATTTATAATTCGTACATACGAAATACTCATTTTTAAAATAACAATCTGTAATTTTTATTTAACACTATCTTAGAATGTTGTATATTATATATATATATATATATTCGAATAAAAGAGAAAAAAATGATATATTTACTAATACAAAAAAATTGGATTGGAAATGTTCTTTGATTTGCACACGAGTTTCCGACCACAGGGTGAAAAAGGAATGCGACTTAATGGGATTCTTTTTGATAAATATAAACGGAAAATTTCTTTCTATATTGAACGTAATGCACAATTGCTTAAATACCTACTAGATGGATTCACCTTGGTTGTATATTCATTTTCGAGGTAAGTAATAATTTTTAAGTTCGTCTATACCAGAAACATTTCATTAATGTCTTCGAAAAAGATTACTGCATTACCACAACAATTACCCTTTACTATGATGTTTCCAAAAATGTATTGAATTTTTTCGAGAATGGTTTTGCGTGGACCCTTGAAGTTGAATCCAATATGAATAAATAAAGTTAGTCTTTACTATCCATATAGGTTCTAAGTCAGGCTAAAACCTGACCCTCCGTTAAATATTTGAGCAAGATATTTTTGGCACCATTCGCGTCCCACCTCACAAAAATCACAAACGTTTTTGATCCACCGAGATCATTTTTTACGAATCCATAATTCCCACACGTCTTTGATGGTGTATTCAATGACCTTACAACCTCTGAACTCCCTCGACTTATGATGAGTGAATCCGAATTTTTTGCTTGCTAATAACTTTCCCTACCACTAAAGTAAATAGGTAACTTTCTATAATAGAAATTTTATAAAACCAAATTTTTTAAATTCTCAACTTTGCTAATTGATGGATGCATAACAAAAGATAGAAATACTGACAATAAAAACAATAAATTTTTTTAAGATAACAAAAAATTATAAAAAAATAATGTATTCATTTATTATTAGAAACAATAGTATCAGACTCGCCATGAATAATTTTAATGTTTTCTAACGCAACCAATTAATTTGTAAATTCGGTTAAATACAATTTATTAACCATTTGGCTTGAAACGTGCCGAGTGACAGTCGCTTTCTATTTGATGGATAATATGAATATAAAGAATAACTTTTTATTACAAAAATTAACGATAACTATACATTAAAGTTTTAAGTGTTAATTTTTTTTACAAAATTACAATTATAAATACAAAAAAAGGTACAATATATTACACCAAGAATTCCATCATCCATCGACATAACGCGAAGTTTTGGCTTAAATCATCAATTTCCACCAGATGTGGCCCTGTTGTATTTACTAATATACTCTTGTAGTCTGGGACTCAATACTTGTTTCGGAGGCTCAATTATCTTAAACGTTAATCTATTTTCATCGTTGTCATCCACCAACTTCTTATTCTTTTTATTCGTCTTTAGCACTGTTTTATTACTTGCAATATCAGTGCTTAACTCACCATCACTCTTTTGCAGTAAAGGAGAAATAACAACAGGTTTTGCTATAGTGGTATTTACATAAGTTGTTGATGTTGAAGTGATCTTGGAATATTGACTTATCGGTGAAGAAGAGAATTTAGAAGTCTCGTTAACAGATTCTTCCTCGATAATCATATTTTCATTATGGGGATTGGTAAGTATGGTCTGAGGAAGAGTGGGTAACATTGGCCCCAGTTTGTGTTGACTAAAAGTTTTTTTTCTGGTAAGATTTGTGGTAGAAATTGGAGTCGAACTAGTTGTTGGTAAAGATGTTTTTGGGGGCGGAGAAGGATTAATCAGTTCGGAAGGAATAATAATTTCACCGAATGGATCTTTATCGGAATTCTTTGATTCTTCAAATTTCGGTGAAGATAAGGATATTTCGCCGGAGTTTACGTTTGACGAGGGACCTGTTGACGGCGCATTATCAGTTAAGACAGAGTTTTTTGAAACATCAGCTACAAGTCTATTATCATCTTTTGATTCAATTCTATTATCATCATTTCCAAATTTATTGGTATTCATGGCTTCTTCTTCAATGTTCAAAATATTGTTTCGACTTACAGGTTTTCGTGGAACATTGAACCCAGTCTGCTTCGGCGGTGAACTAATACCACCTTGAATCGCGGACGAAGATGGTACCACACTGTTGTCGGCTAAACCTGATTTCTTTTGTCCCAATGACATAAATATTGACGCTTTTGTAGGGTTTTGATTAGGCTTCGTGACTGTAGGTTTGGGAGGTTTTGGCGGGCTAGAGACAAGCTTGGATGTTTTAGGCGATTTAGGTGGACTAGCGGCGAGCTTGGGTGGTTTTGGCGGGACAGGTGGACTAGAAGATTTTGTGTTTATTTCTGAGGTAGCGTCAGCCAATTTTGATGATAAGGCAATCTCGTTCTCTATTGTCACTTTACTTTTGTTAGAATCAGTCATGACATTACTAGGCGCTTCGGAGATAAGAGACAGAGGCTTCGTTGGAATAGGGGGAAGATTTCGTCGTGGCCTATGTACAGGAGTGTCCTGGATCACTGGTACAATTGGTGCACTAGTTACTTGAGAACTGTTTTCCGTTGATGGCATCTCTACGCCAAAAATGTCCTGACCATTTTTAGCGATGTTTACGATTTCATTGATTTTAATTGCACGAGCTTTTCTGGTATTTGTCGCATCTTCAGGTGGTGGGGGAAGTGTTCTTCTCGGTCTCCCCTTAATTAAATCATCATCTGGAATTTCTGATCTGACATCTTCATCAAAAGTCTGATCATTTTGAATAATATCCATTATCTGATCAACTTTAATTGCGCGAATTTTGGAAGTATCAGATGCATATTCTGGGTGTGATGGAAGCGCTTTACGTGGCCTCTCATCGTTTGCTCCCTTATTCTGACTATCATTATTTGTTACAGTTGCATCATGATTATCCTGACTTTTATTAGGATCGTCATTACTATATCCAATCCAAGAACCGCCCCATCTCAACAATGCTGATATGTTTCCAATAGCACCACTTGTAGATGCAGGAGGAAATTGCCTGGATATATCTTGTTCGGTTCCTGGAACTTGAAGAAAATCTGATTTTGGAACGTTATTTTCATCAATAATAACGATACTTTCTTCTTCATCTTCTTTGGATATATTCCTTTCTTTGAGAACAGAGTCACCAGAATTTACTGGTTGTTTTTCTTCAAACGTATGATCTATGACTGAGGGTGATGAGGACTTTTGTTTCATAAGCAAAGTTAATCCAGAAGGACCAGATGGCGATGAAACAATACTATTGCTTCGTTGAAATGTGCTATCCGGCAACTTTGACGTGTTTTGCACTGGAATTGCAATAGGACCTTGCAAACCGGATTTCGGAGATTGTGATTTTGGTGAGATATTCATTATTTCTTGTGTACGATTTACATGTGACCATGGCGAAACCGTGGATTTTGCACTTTGCTCAACTGGCTCCGATAATGGGGGAGTCACAATGCTCGAAGAATCAGCTTGATCATTCGTGTTTTGATTTTCTAACCATTTTTGTACAGCCTTTGTGGGAGGTGGTGATGCTCCAAATTCGTATTCGGATGCTTGCGATCCAGAATAAACACCGAACCCATTAACTGCACTACCCAGAGCGGATGTCGGTTGTGGTGTATAAGGACGTTTTTGTACTACGTTCTGTTCTTGAGTTGAGAATGAAAGGTATCTCACACGCTCTATTGCAGGAATGTACGCATAAGGTGATGCAGGTGCCAACGGCGGAGATTTTGCAATTAATTTTGATGGAGAAGATGGTGTCATTTGTTTCGGCCGACCAAGAAATGATGACGCCAATGAACTAAGTTTCTTTGGACTTGCCGAGCCAAACATTCCCGATCCGAATGAACCTCGAGGTGAATAATGACCTTTGTAATCATCATCCCCATTCGTCCAAGGTAAAATTCTGGTTCCTTTTTTAGACGGAATACTCACTGGAGTGGCGACATATTCAAGTACTTCATTGTCATCTTGTCTAATGTCCTCGATAAAAAAATCAGCACTTTCATCCATCATGTTGTAATGGTTTGGAAAATGGTTAAGATCTGTATCAGCCATAGGAGGAGGTTGCAGTGATGCTGAATGTGCTATATAGACCGGAAGCTGCACGGAGAGATCCTTTCTATATGTTTGTGAATTTGCATTATATCAGGTTTTTTTCTAAGATTAATAAAAAAAAATTTTTTTTCTGATGTAACATACGTGAATGGCCCCAAATATAGTGATACGATGATGTAGCATACAACTTCGAAAAGAGCAGTATTTCTTATTGTTCTTACATTGTTCTAGGAAATAAATTATGATAAATCAATGCATTCCTCCAGGGAATAAGTAAACAGTAATAAGGACCTACCGGTACATTAATATGAACAATGGTTGATCTATCTTCGCCACAGTCGAACAAAAAATCTTTACCCTTAAACCATTCCTCTTTAACAGTCTCACCCACAGCCTTAACCTGATCTATCTCTTTTTTGGCCTTGTTTGCCAGTATCAACAGCCTATGCGTGATAGATACTTTAAGTCCTTGGACCTAAAAAAGTCTTCAATAAATTAAATGCATGACAAACTCAACATTTTCTTAATAATGTAAAAAACATACCCTCCGTTTGGTATCGTTCTTTACCCTAACCTTTATGCTAACATTCCCACCACTTTGGAATAAGGTTTCTACCAATGTACTTTCCAACGTGATAGCACCACTTCCGCCCATCCACAGCTGTTTCATATTTACAGCATCAATTGGTTGCTTATATAAAGGATTATATGCATCCCATGCCTCAACCACAAACGCCTCCTTTGCCTTAAACATTGAATCTTGCTTGTTGTTATTTAAAAATTGGATAACTCTAAAATGTTTAAGAGTATGATTTTAATATTTTTAATAGTAAAGTTTAAATTTATCACTCAAATTATTAAAAGTGTATATTAATTACCCGGTTACAATATATCGTAAGCATGCACCATTCCCGTATTCTACAGAACTTGGCGCATCAACGGGAATCTTAAATGAAAATGGGAAAGTAGTCTTCCCCTTCTTCGCGGTCCAGTAGCCATTGTCAGGTGGTCCATGTACGGCATTTGATGGTGGTAATGTTGCACTTTGAAACACCAGTCGAGAAGATAGGAATGATTGTGATGCCGTGTACTCTCTCGTATTTAATTCTAAGAATTTTGATTATTCAGAACAATTTTGATTTTAAAAATAACCAATTTTGCGTAAACTGAGTTTTATATTTCGAAGAAAAGAAAAACCATATTTCGATATTCATTATTCATGATTGAAAATTTGCTGCATACCTTCATAAGCAGTCAACTCACAAGATATCTCGCCGAGCTTCAAGGATCTCGAGGTGGTACTAACCAATTCCAGCCTTCCGGTCAATATTCCGCCCGCTGTATAAATCGTCGAGTCCAACGATACATGTAACTTCAACTTGGTAACCTTTGATATAGCAGTTGCGGTCGGTTTGAAATTAATATTTGCATGATCGGGTGGTAGTATCGAAGTTGTTGCATTGGTGGTTGTAGACATTATGGTCTGTTCACCTCCGCTGAGGACAGAATGATTTTTGAGAGATGTAGGTGAATTATGGTAGGATGAGGGATCGGAATCATTATTATAGTTGCTATAATCGGATGTGGTTTGATTGTATGCAATGGATGAGGGACCATTTCCAAATCGGATCCTATCATTTTCCAAAGATTCATTCATTATTACTGATGATGAATTTTGTAATTCGTCAAATGAATGTTATGTGATGAGATAAAATACCAAGCTCTTTAAAAATATTATTCTTAAAATAATGATAACATTAAGAACAGTATATTGATTATTCGAGAACAGTAATTTGGTAAAATACTACTCTTATTTTAAAGAAGAATATATGCAAGAAAAAAAACTGCGAGTTTTTTTTCATAAAAATTATACGAATGTTCTTATAATATTCGGAAAACGATAGGATCCTGTATGAGTCCTTGTAATTGGAATAATCAAGAATTTGATTTTCCACTCAAAAATGCGCTTTATGCGATATTCAAGAATAGTTGTGAAGTAAAATTTAATTTCTCGATTACTTATGAAAGGATTTATATATAGAATATATTCTGGAGTGGAGATATACGTGTTAGGTCACTCCTGAATTAAGGGGTACGTACGTATGTTTATTGCATCATGCATTAACCTTATTTTTAGAAATAGTATGCTAAGGATGAAATCCGGAAGCTGTCGAGTCCACGGCAAGGTGAGCCGTGATCATTATATAGGCGACAGAGCTCCGTTGGGGTTGGGTAAGTGCAATATCAACTATAATCCATGATGATTTAATGGGGTGAACGGATTTTGGCACCATTTTAAGTTCACGATGTGAGCTTTCACTTATGGCTATAAGGGGCCCTAAACCGTGGGAGCAGATCATGATTCATTATGAACGCATCAAAAAAATAACTTTCTTAGCTTAAATGCGAGTTCACGTTAATCAATAAAAAGCATAATTGGCTTAAAAAGGATAACTGATTTTTTAAAAGTTCGAATTTTATTAATAAATAATCTAATTTATACAAAAATATTTTGATTCCAATATAAGAAATTTCTATAGCTAATAAACCTTTTTTTTAATTTATTTTTATTAAAAAAATTTATATTTTTCTAATAAGTTTTTTTTTTTTTTACTTTTATAGCTATTGTAATAAACTTTTTATATTATTGATTTATTTAATTCTAATTTTTTTTTAAGGTAATAAATACTTCAATATATTGTTTTTATTAAATATTTTATATCAAATTACAAGTATTTTAAGATTTTATATAAATTAATTTATATCTTATATTTTTTTATTATTGTCAACTCTTTCTGCTAATTCTTTAATCATTATTTCAAAATAGTATTTAAACTAAAGTATATCTTTACTCTTAAAATAATCCATATTTTTTTTTTAATACAAATCTTATATATTATAATGAAAAATTTTCAACTCTTCACTGTTTTGTTTATCTCTTCAAAAAGTAAAAACAAAAAGGTTCTTGATTTTGTTTACTTAAGCTTCAATAATAAAAAAAAGTTTTTCAAAAAAAAAAACAGTTTATTTGATTTCTTTTCATCTTTTTTTTTTTTTTTTTTTTGTAGGTAAACATCATTTCTTTATTTGATTTGTATATAGCAGAATATACATCGTGAAAGAAACAACATCTCTTATATGTTGGTACAATAAGTTAAATACTAGCTTGCCTACAGTAACTATATAACTAATATTGAAAAGAAAATTTAAAATAATATATTTTGCCAGATGGCATCAAGTAGTTATAAATACCTACTTAGCATTAAGAGAAATAGTAGTAAAATTAGAATTAGTGAATAGAGTTATTAGACTATGAATATATTTGGAATAATTATATTTAGATTGAATGAATAAGTTAGCCATAGTAAAAGATAGATCAATAATGATATTGTCTTGTAGATTATTGGAAATGTCTTTGGCCTGTGAAGTGTTTTTAGCTTCTGGATTAGCAGAATTGGTTGAATTATGTATCTTGATATGGTTCCACTTGATTCCAGTGAGAGATGAAGTATTAGCTATAGAGTAACATGGTTTCCAAATTAGATCATGCAATAAGGACAAAGATTCTGTTGCTGCCTTGATTCATTTCGTAGAATCTGTGGTTGAAAAAATTTTGTCTATAACTCCACATGACAACTCAATGACTTGCCATATACAATATGTAAGATCGGTTTATGATTATCATCTGGATAGAGAGTTTGATTAATAGTTTTAATAATTTGCTCAGCTGCTTGTAATGCTTCCGCACATTTGAAAACATGTTGAATGTCTTCTGTACGAAGTTTACATCATGGACAGAGAGTATTTGGGTATTAATTAGGATATAACTGATGAAGTATAAGACGGATTGGAAGAGTTCCTAAGAGCAGTTTGATTCTGAAGGCTACTAAGATGCTGTATTTGTTATTACAGAGTTTTCTAATATTTTTGTTGAACTGGTTAATGACTTTTAGACCATGTAAGGTATGTGTTCGTCCAAATGTTTGAACAACTGAGGAGCTTTTACATACCATGTAGTCTCTGGTAATATTAAAAATTTTCTTGCATCATCTAATACTGCTACGCAAACAAGTATTGTTTATTAGGGGGTTTTCTGGAAAGTGTAGTGAAGAGTTGTTCCATTGGATGGTTTTGATTGATCTTGATTTGAATTTTGATTTGGTATATACAATCTCTATAGATTTTTGTTATATGTACCAATTTATTCTCTGAGATAATAAGGAGAAGTTGATTTTAACCATCCTTCTTGAGTATTCAGGTACCAGTTGAAGGATTTTTTTGTTGTTTCTAATTTTGATGGTAAAGTGAGCTGGGATTTCCTGTATAATGTCAAAGATTGCCAAAAAAATATTGCCTGGTGATAGACAGAAGTTGAGTAGTTTTACTTCAGTCTCATTTATACTGTAAATAGACTATTCTTGTAAGATTGAATATGGTAATATTGTTACAGGCCAAGATCTTGTAATAATAATTGAAGAGAATAACTAGCAGAGATATTAACTTCTTAAAGAATGTGTTCATTATTTGGTGGGAAGTTAACAATTTCATCTATTATGTTGAGCAGACGGTATTTGAATCTATTGAGAGAACTGAAAGAGACCTATAGTATGGAAGTAAATATACTCATAAATGATATCTAACAAAAATCATGGAAGGGTGTACCGATTGGACAGCCTGAACATCTAGTAAGATTATTGTCAAGATCTATAATAAAATGCTTTCCTTTGAGTAGTGTTCTTTTATCTATAAGAGTATATCTTTTGCAAGTCTTAACAACTGTATTAATGTTATGTAGGAACTAGAATATTGTTTTAGGATTTGGTATTGGACCATAGATTCCAGATAGGTTCTTAGTGTTTGCAAATGTTTTGAACCAATTGAGCTCTGGACCCAAGCGAATTATTTCTGTGTGTGTAGCAAGCTGTGACTAGGAAAGTTTGGTAGTGTTATTGTACTTCAACAGTGGTTAATAAACTTTATGTTGAGGGTATTAGTTGTACTAATTGCTGTTTTTCTAAGTTGTGACTGCATGTTGATAAATAAAAATCTGATCAAGTTTTCCATGTTGTCAAGATGAAATGAACATTCTGCTGGACAAATTTGGATTTTGAGGTTTTTGATTGATTTTGTAGCATAAAGAATCCAGTTTTCCTGGTTGAATTTTTCTGGGTCGCAAATGGGACAGAACCAAATAGCTTCTTTTGTTTGGATGAACTGGATGTCTTGTATTATATACTTTCTAATAGAGGGGATAGAAAGTTTGGAGATGAGGTTTCCTATTAGGGTGATTCTTTGCCTCTCTTCTAATATTGTCAAGTTGAGGCCACTGCAGCTGACTAGGATTGTATTGGAGCATTTTGATAAAATCTTGTATGCTGACTTTACCAGTTTGTTGATTTTGGTTTGGAGTAAGTTAAGAGTCGTTTTGTTAAGGAATAAGAAGAGTAGAAAATACTCGAACTTTCCTATAATGACCCAGTCATTGATTTGTTGCTTGATTTCTCCTTTCCAATTGTGTTTAGTGAACTCTTCATTATTTGCAATGATGTCTGCAAGAATGCTTTTATATTGATTTTGTTAAAATTTCTGGGAGAGATTAATGTTTCAAAGTACTTAACACTTTCTTATGGTTTAAAAATTTGGACATGGTAGTTGTTGAATCTGATAGTGCTCTAAGTGCCATGCTTTACTCTAATATTGTTGATTATTTTTGTTTTCTCTTTATTGCATGTAATATTGTTCAGTGCGAAGAATTGATTGGCTACATTTAGAAAATTCTCCATTTTTTGCTTGGAGTCTGCAATAAGGGCTAGGTCATCCATATATGCAAGTATGTTGGGAGCTACAGATCCTCTAACTAAGTCATATTGTAATAGTTTAGTGACCAGAGGGTCATAAAAAATAATCCATGTAATAGGTGATAGAGTTTTGCCTTGCTCTACTCCATTGTTGACAATGAATAGGTCAGTTGGTCCAAATGGTGTATTGATAGATACTTCTTTGTTACTTAAAATGTTGATAAGAAGTTTATTGATTTGCTCAGGACAGTTGTTTCTTTCTAATGATCTTTTGATTGCTGATATTGGAGCTGAGTTGAATGCTTTGGCAATGTCAAGAGAGGCAAACCAAAATTCCTTATTGTTGGCATTTGCTGCTTGAAGAGCTGAGTGTACAATTGTTAGGAGTTTCATTGTACTTTGTCTCAGAAAGCCGGTACAGTTAAATTCTAATAATATATTATTATCTTTAAGGATTTTGGTTAATTTTTTATTAATCCGTCCTGTAAATATTTTTCTTGTAGAGTTAACAAGCGATAGGTCTAGAGTCAGCAAGCTTGTGGCTCTATACTACTTTCTTTGGAATAAGTGTAATAATAGTTTGTTTCCACTGCTTGGATATGGAGATAGATTGTAGGATATAATTAAATACTGTCATCATATACACAATAGCTTTGTCCCCCATAAGTTTGATGATGTCATAGCTGACCCCAGATTTTCCTAGAGCTTTGTTTTTTGGAAACTTACGAATGGCTTCTTTGACATCTGAGGGAATATATGGATCTATAAGGTTGTTATATATTTCTTAATTGATTGGTTTGGAAGTATAAACTTCTTTCCATTCAGAAAAATTCTCAAGTTTGAAGTCTCTGGATCGTAAGATATTTTTGAAGTATTTGTTGATAGTTTCTTGAATAAGGTCTGAATCATCTTTCAATTAATTGTCAGAATTGTATATTTTAAACAGATTGATTTTTGGTTTGATAGTTCCAAGAGTTTTTTTGATATAACTCTTTGGTTTGTTATAGAAGTTCTCTATCATGTTTTTCAAACTTAGGCAAAATTCTTCAGCTAGTTCTTGTTAGGACTGAAGTAAAGTTTTCTTGATTAATAGTTTCTTCGGCTTTTGGAAACCTTTAATTGACACATTGGAGCTGTAGTTAATGACTTCGTATAGAGTTATTAACTCTTGGTCCAAAAGAAATAAGGGTCTCTGGTTGTTCTTGAGTTATATCATTGTTTTATTGATTTTCTTGGTTTGTTTTTTGAGTTTTTTTTCTGCACTGGTGCGATAATCTTTTTGGATAAAGTTAACTTTGGTTTTCTTGATGTGTTTGTTAAGGGTATTGGTGCAAATACTATAGAAGTTGTTCCAATCTGGTAATGATAGAAGGCTGACCCAATGATCTAATTCTTTGATAAATTCTGTGATGTTTTCCTTTGAGATTTTGTTAAGATTGAACTTGAAGGCTAGTTTGATTTTCCTGAACTCAAAGAAATCTAGTTTTATTAAAATTGCACAATAGTCGGTTGGAATGGAATCCATTTTCTGAACCTCATACCAGATTATTTTGGGTGCAAGGATTCTTGATACCTATGCT